TGGTATGGAATCCCAAAGAGGACCTGGACAGGAAAAGCTGCCTTCCTAAGGATGGTAGGCCCTCCTTTCCCCACACCAAGGGCCCAGAGCAACTGCTCTTCAGTCCTGCTTTTATATCATTGCTCTTTTTCTTGTGCAAAATCTCTTTTGTCCTCCGGAGCATATTCCTTTCAACTCTACCACTTCTTAACACTTTCTGTTTTCGGTGTTCATCCATCTCCTGGTTCCTCTCCAACAGACATCCATGTCTTAGGAAACCTGTGAGCTGGATGCCAGTCGAATCCTCCTCTGTAGCCATAAGAGATTTCAATGTCTAAAGATAGTCATTACTCTGTTCACCAAACCTTTCTTCAGTTCTTAGAGGTCAGGCTCTGTATTAGGCAGTGGATTCACTAGCAAGCAAAACAGTCTCTGCTCTAATGCTGTTTTCTGTTTCAGAGAGACAGGCCATAAATACCTATCTGGTGGTGCAAGAGCTAAACAACACCACAACAAAGGGTAAAAATAAAATGAATGGGGGGAAGGGAGAGGCAGGGCTTCCTTTCAGGAAATGATGGTACTGAGACCCAAATGAAGAAAGAGACTAAACCTTGTAGATATGTAAATGTATTAACTATTGCTGGGTAACAAATTATCCCCTAATTTAGCACCTTAAAACAATTTATGTTATCTCATAGTTTCTCAGGATTAAGGATGCAGGAGTACTTTAACTGGATGTTTCTGCTTAGGATCGTTCATGAAGGTGCCATCAAGTCCACTGAGACTGCAGTTTTCTCGTGGCTCAGCTGGGGCTGAAGAACTTACATTCCAGCCTAGTCACCTGGTTCTTAGCAAACCTGTTCACTGCAGCCTGTTACACTGAGGCCCTCTGTTCCGTGTCTCTTAGCAGCTTGCTTTCTCTTGGGCAGATGATGGGAGGAAGGGAGAGAACACCACAGTGTTATATGAACTAATCTCAGAAGTGACATGCCGTCATTATTCTCTGTTACCAACACCTTAAACTGCCTCTCTTTACTGACTTGTCTCCCTCATTGCTTGAATGTAATTTCCCAGTCCAGCTTTTTGCCTTCCTCATTTCCTTTTTCATTCAAGCTTTATGTTTGCTGTCTTCAGTGTAGGCAGCCTGCCCTCTCCTCCCTCCTGTAAATCGGCTCCCACTACTCCACCCCACTAACTCTCCCCTGCCAGAGGCAACCTAGGGGTGGTAAAGACCAATTCACTTATTTTAGCAGATTGGTCCCATAGCACTTGATTCTCTCTCTCTGTTAAGACTCTCTCTCCTCTTGTGTGGTGATATGTCATATTATTCCTTCCACTTCTCTGACACTACCAGCCTCCCCTGGACCCAGTTTTTGCGCCAACCATTGAAATGTAGGTGTATTCAGAGTTTTGTCCTTGACTCTTTTTGTTTTTACTATCCATTGTCTTCAATGCTGACCTTTACCAAAACTAAACTAGTCATCCGTAACCCACTTCCCGAACACCCACCATCGTACACAAACACTAAACACACAAATGCGTCCCAACCTGTATTCTTTAAGTCTTTATTTTTGATTAATGAAATCCAGGTATCCTGTAAAAAAAACAAAACAAAACTGAATCATCGTATTTTTTTTCTGCTTTTCCACATTCTGTAAATCAACAAGATAGGTTAATTCTATTTCCCAACTCTCTCTTGCTTCTACCTCTCTCGGTAGCCCACGAGCTTTGCCCTGCCCATGTCAAGCCCTTATTACTGTTTTCCACCCAGTTTACTGCACTTGCCTGATAACTGAAAGTAGTCAGTCTCTGTTCAGGTTGACCGTCATCTACTCTTGATGCTGCCACTAGTTGTTTGTTGACCTCATGCTTCTCAACAGCCCAGTTTCTAGGTAGCCCAGCCGTCCTTGACTCGCAGCCACGAGAGAGCACCGAGACCTTGCTTGGCACACGGTGCACTTTGCCATCACGTCCCTAGTGCTCAGCATGCCATGACTTTTGCCCCTCACCCTTATATTGAATGCTCCTGCATTATGAAAATTCTTACATTGCACCCCAAAGGCCATGCTGTTTTATGCTATGCCTTTTACCTCTGTTTAATTTCCTGAAATGTGTTTTTTGTCCCTTTCCCCTCCCACTCAATCCACTGTTTGTTTAAATCACAGGTCCCTTGTCTCTATCCTGTGCCGCACTCTTTCCCAACTTTGCTCCCCCACCCCCAGACAACAGTTAATAACTTCCTTTCCTCTTCTTTCCCTCCCCTTGCATAGGTTTCTGTCATTGCTTAGACACTGTGCTGTTTATCCTGTCTCAGGTAGTGTGAGCTGTTTGAGGGCAGGGGCTTTGGCTCATTAATGTTTGTGTCCCCAACACTTAGCAAACTACCTCACATAGTGTTACCACTTAATAAATGTCAATGAAATAACATGTACTTGGACTGAGTTTCATTTTAGGTGTGCTTTTATAGGGGAAAAATTAAGACTCCAAAAACAAGTTCATTACTGCCTTTGCTTTAAAGATGTCATTTGGTTACTTGGTAGAATCTAGTGCTATTAGGCAGATGAAGTTGAAAAAAAAGATCAAATACCTTCCAACTTAGAGTATGAGATATCAAGTAATTTAAAGTTTTTCTGAAACCAGGCTTAAGGTATTTATATTGCTCCTTTAAAAATATCTTGCCATTCCAGCTTTACACTCCATTACCACATTTTAAAAGCTTTTCAACTTCAGATATTTTCCCTTAGAAATAATGTTGCATTAAGCATTTTGGTATTTATGTATCTGGGTGCGATCTGTAGACAGAACCACACAATAATTGAACAGGGAAAATTAATAAAAACAATGAGGGATCAGCAACTACAGGTAATGAAAACTGAAGAGTATTGTAGTAGCACAACACCCAAGCAAAGAGCTAATCTGGAAGAGGGTCCCACTCCCTCCGTCCCAAAGGCTGGGTTCCAGCCCTCACTGGAGAAGATGTGGTGGGTCCTATTGGATGGCAGGGAAATTCACTGAAGTGCCACCCTAATGGGACTCCAGGGAACTTCCTTTTGAGGTGCTGGAGAGAAGTTGTCCATAGGGAGGTGCTACCCTGCAGAACTCACCGGGAATCTGCCTGGGAGGGGTGGTGGCGGTGCCCTGGGAAGCCACCCTCCAGGGTCTGGAGAGAAGTGGTCCATGGGTTTGTGCCCTATTCCTCCTGGTCTAAGAAGAGAACCTCTCCCCTTCCCCCCCAAGAAAAGCACTTATTCTTACCAAGTCCTTCCAACACCCTCTAAAATTGTGCTAGTTGGCACCGGTGAGGTAATGGGAAGGTAACACTGAAAAGCAATAGACCGACAGCTGGCACAATCTACCCACTCTGACTGCTAAGCTTCCATATGTCCCCATTTAATAAGATACAGCTATCACAGAAATTAGGGGGGGAAAGTATGTATAACTTAATTATCTTGAATTCTAGTACCCAATAGACTAGTGCAATTAGATAAGGATGAGAAAGGAGGTGGAGGCTCCCCTTGGTGCTCTGAAGTAGGTGATGGCAATATGAGACAACATACATTGTTAAGTAGTAATTTCATTTTCCTTGATCTAGATAAATTAAAGGTACTATTCTTATACTTGTCACTTAAGAATTAATTAGTTTTGGCTTAGAAACAGAGAAAATAAGACGGTCTTTCTTATAGTCAATAACTGAGCCACAACTGTTAAATAGGGAGGGAGTATTGTATGTATGTGTCATCCACGTTTGCATGATGTAGAATTTACAATCCCTGGTTTAGTATACTAGGAAACTGAAACATTTGAGAGTTAGGAATTATCTGCCCACTGAGCAGAGATAGGAAACAATATTTTGCATGAATGGCCCTAAAAAAGGGAGAAAGAAAGTGATAAAATGTTTTGAGTCAAGTGCTAATCAGTGGGGCAAGTGAGGCCATTTTATGTGGAACTCCCGTGCAACTTGCTCACTTGCACACAGATATGGTGGTAGCATGGTCCAAGTAGTGGGTTTGTAACTTGGGAGTACCTCATTATTATGAATCAGTTCTTAGGGTAAAAGTTGACATGGATTTTTTGTTTCATAATCTTAATAACAGATAAAACTTATGGAACCTGCAGTAAATAGCCCTACATGTTCTTCTGGGAGAATATTTTTTCATTACAGGATGAAAAAGCAGGAAATAAGAGCATTGTCATATGACCCTTAGAGATTCTTAGGAATATTGATGATGGAATAGATGTTTAATGAATATTGACTGATATTTGTTATTACCTGGTTTGTAACTTTGAAGAAAGGGGAGGTTTAAAGCCAAGTATGATGTCTTTTGCACAATATGGCTTTATTATTACTCACCTCTTCCTACCCATTTCATGAGCATCTCTCTCCTTCGTTGTGATTGTTCATATTTTATTTCTTACTGATATTAGTGAGCAGCTAGAAGTTTCTTCGAGATTTTACTTTTATGGAATCCTGTCTTCCCAGCTATAAAAAGTGTGTGAGAAGATGAGGGACATAGTTGTATTCCATCCCCCAAGATGTGGAGCAGTTTTAATTAACAGTTTTACCTGATGGGTATTGACTTGGATACTAGACTAACCACACTATTGGCCTTCAGACACTTCCTGAACAATCTGAGACCTTCTCCCTGCTGAGACACTAGCTAGAACTCTCAAGTACAGATAGAGAATTTGAGCTCATATCTCCAGCTACCTCCTTAAATAACTGTTACAGGATTCAGGTGTAGATACGCCCATGACTTCAGGTGGGGGGAACGTGTAGCTCAAGGTTGGATGATCTTACAGGTTCCCCAGCCCTCATTACTGTCTCCTATAAACATCTCAACATTTTAGAGAAGATTCGGGGCCTCCATGATGTCATTAGTTACCATGTATTATAAAATTTTGAATCATTGTAGACTATTTGGTGTCATAATTTGAGCTGGATTGGTATAAGCGATTGATGTTAGTGTCCCTACCTAATTGTAAATGGGTGTTTTTGTTTTTTTTGTGTGTGTGTCTTTCAGGTTTTTCTGAAGAGTGACAGAGTGGCCAGGATGGTTCAGAGTGGAGGATGTTCCGCTAATGACTTCAGAGAGGTGTTTAAGAAAAACATAGAAAAACGGGTGCGGAGTTTGCCAGAAATTGATGGCTTGAGCAAAGAGACAGTGCTGAGTTCATGGATAGCCAAATATGATGCTATTTACAGAGGCGAAGAGGATTTGTGCAAACAGCCAAGTAGAATGGCCCTAAGCACTGTGTCTGAACTTATTCTGAGCAAGGAACAACTTTATGAAATGTTTCAGCAGATTCTGGGTATTAAAAAACTAGAACACCAACTCCTTTATAATGCATGTCAGGTAAGTGGTCCATGATAGTTCCCAAGCCCTGACCTGACTCAGAATAAACATCAAGTGTTTATAAGCCTGTGAAGGTGTACTTTACTTTATATAAGCACTTTGAAAAGTTGAGTGACAATGAATTTTAATAAATAGTGATATTTGAAAGAAGCTATAGGAGAATTATTTGATTGAGGGAGAATAATATCAGCACATCTTATCCAGTAAGTAGTTATTCTAATTTGCCCTATTTTAGGACATCAGATTTGTGCCTATTGGATGTATATGGGGGCATGCCCCAAATAGTAACATGAAAATCATCTGTAAGGTGGGCAATTTATAACAAATAGGTTATTCTTCAGTGCAAGATAGTTTTCCATGAAAGTATTCTGGTCTTCTGAGTTTTATAGAAATAACTGAAATTTCTAACCTTTTTTTTAATCCAGCCTGATACAAATGAATTGAAGATGATTGCTAAACTATGCAATTTAGAGAGATAACAAAGTGAATAGCATTTTCTCTTGAGAGTTTTATTCTAATCAGACACATATGAAACATTGATAAAATAGCATGTTTCATGTCTTTCTTCCTTAGACCCTGATTTGCCCAGTAATGCATTCCTTCAATGTTTGCATTTGTTTGCTTGTTTTAGAGGTATAAATTATTTAACTATACCCCAATGTACAATTTAAATTAGCAAAATTCTGGAATTTTAAAATTCATGTGTTCGCCAAAAGTTACACTTCTATAATGTACACACATTAAGGTTTATTTTTAATCTTTTCTCAAATTTATTTCTCAAATTCTGTATTCCATCTGAATCATTTACTTTGCATCACTAATTTTTGGATCATTTCAAATGAATAAATCAACAAAGTAAGTTAATAATAAAGCAATGTAACACCTTCACCCTGTGAACAATTCATGTATTCACCAACCACATGGTGGCTTGATGACAGTAAATTGGGTATTTATTCAAGCCAAAAGCCTTTCCAGGTATTGGGGAAACCAGGCTGAGCAAAATATTCTCCATATCTCCATATGCCAAAGTCTTAATAGAGCAGATAGACATCTAAAATGAGTTATAAATGAGTTATAATTTATATTGGATATGACAGGGTCTTAAATTGAATTCCTGTGGACCTATCAATTTATATGGAGGCTTATTTTGTCATAATAACAATATCAACTATTAATACTACCATTACTATTTTTTAAATTTATTTTTGCTTTTTACCTTTTGACTCCCTTCACCCATTTCTCCCACAGTCCATGAACTCAGAATATTTTAAAACTAATCATTTGCTTATCTTTTAAGATCACTTCTACAGCAGTGGTGTGGACCTCTTGATTTCCATCCTCTCTAACATGGAACATACTTCTAATTCAAATCTCCAACTGTAATGATGGATTTGTTTATTTTTCTCTTCAGTTCTATTAGTGTTTGCCTCATGTATTTTGATGTTTTGTTAGGTTCGTACACATTTAGGATTATTATGTCTTGGTGGAATTAACTACTTTATCATTATATAAAATCTGTCTTTATCCCTGAAGATTTTCTTTTTTCTGAAGTCTACTTTGTCTTAAATAAATTGATATAGTGACTCCAGGTTTCTTTTGATTAGGGTTAGAATGATGTCTTTTCTCCGTTTACTTTTAACCTATCTGATTCTTTGTTTAAAGTGGGTTTCTTATAGACAGCATGAAATTGTCTTCTGTTTTATTTTAATTAAATCTGACAGTCTTTGTCTTTTAATACATGTGTTTAGACTATTCATATTTAAAGTGACATAGTTGGATGAAATTCCAGTCTTAAATGTTGTCACTTCCTTGCATTTGTTCTGTGCCTTCTACTTTTAATTTAATTGAAACTTTATATCCTCTTTTGTTATACTACTTGTTTTTTATAAAACTTCTTCAGTGCTTGTAAACTTGTTCAGAGTTTACAATAGACATTTAAAAATAATCTTAAATCCACCTTCACATAACACTATAAGGCTTCAAGTGTAGTACAGCTATCCCATAATAGAGAATTCCCAATTCTTCCTATATCCCTTGAGACATTTCTGTCATTCATTTAACTTGATTATATGCTATGAACACCCAATACATTGTTACTATTACTACTTTAACTTTTAGATCAATTAAGAGGAAAATAAAACTTAGATTACTGTGTGTTTATTTTACCTTCATTTATTCCTTCTCTGACACTCTTTTCTTTCTTTATGCAAACCCAAATTTCTAACCTATATCATTTTCCTTATGTCTGAAAAGCGTTTTAACATTTTTTGCAAGGCAGAATTACTGGCAGAGTTCCCTCAGTTTTGTTTGTCTGAGAAGGTCTCTATTTTTCTGTCATGTTTAAAGGATAACTTCATTGGGTATAGAATTATCAGTTTGCTTTTTTTTCTCCCTTTCAACACTAAAGACTCCACTTTCTTATACTTGCATGGTTTCTGATGATATGTCTTGATAAAGCTCTTATTTATTACTCTATTTAGGTTAGGTGTTTTTTTGTCCTATGGATCCCTTCAATATTTTCTCAGTTTTCTGCAGTGTGAACATGATATACCTAGTTATAGGTTTTTTGATATTTATCTTACATGGTGTTTTCTCATCTTCCTGAATTTATGTGTTGGTGTCTGTTACTAAGTTTGGAAAATTCTCAGCCATTATTACTTAGGATATTCCTTTTGTCCCATTCTCACTTTCTCCTTCAGTTTCCCAGTTATATTACTCTTTTTGATATTGACTCACAGTTCTGGGATGTTCTGGTTTTGTTTTGTTTTGTTCTTTTGTTTTTTAGTTCTTTTTCTCTTTACATTTCAAATCAGAAAATTTCTGTTGGCCTTTTTTCAAGTTCACTGATCATTTTTTCAGAATTAGGTCTACTGATGAGCTGCCCTTCAAAGGCTCTATTCATTTCTGTGATAGTATTTTTTATTTCTAGCACTTCCTTATGAATTGTCCTTAGAGTTTTCACCTCCCAGCTTACATTTCTGAACTGTTCTTGCATGTTTTAGAGCCCTTAAAATATTAATTAGTAAGTTATTGAAATTACTTGTTTGATAGCTACAAGATCTGGGTCACACCTAAATCTGTTTTGGATACTTGCTTTGTCACTGCAGACTATGTTTCCTTATTGTCATTTGGAATGGTTTGTCATTTCTTGTTTAAAGTCAGGCATGTTGTATCACTTAAGAACTGAGGTATATTTGCCTTTAGTGTGAGAGTTTATGTTAATTTGGGAGTTGGGGCTTTTTGTTATAGCCACAGGTACAAGAAACATCAAATTCTCCTAGTATCCTTGTCTTCTCTCTTAACTTCAGGCTTCCCTAAGCATTCTTCCTGAGAGAACACCTCTCTTGCAGGTCTTTTAGCTATGATCCACTGCCAGTATACTAGAGCTGTGTTAGTGTTGAGAAGTGGGGAGCATTCTGTAATCTTTTTGAGTCTCATCTTTTAGTGGGCCTATGTCTCAGTAATCTCACAAATGTTTCTCTCCCTTGTCTAGATATCGCTTCCCTCCGCACTCATGTTCTTTGTTCTCTTCTTTGGCTAAAGCATCCCCAGTTTGTTCCCTTGAAGTCTTGCACCCTGTTCACTTTTTTTTTTTTTTGCAATAGAAGAGAGAGGAAGGCTTCAAAGGACTTCTCTTTCTCCAGCTGAGATAAGTTTTTTTAGCCTTTCCTTGTTTGGCAGTCTGTTCCTTTTGTTTGGGGGAAAAATCTGGAAAGTTTAACAGTGCATTTTCTTCTCCTCTTTCTGCCAGGTCCACATGGGGATCTTTTTGGGTCCTTACCATGAGAACCTGGTGGAGTAAGTGTAAGGAAAGCCTAGTAAAGTGTGGTAACCTCTTAGAATTGTAGTCCCAGGAGCTTCTCACTCTCTGCATCCAGCTTCTAGTAATTTACCCAAATTACTAGTCAGATAGGCAGTCCTCCTTGTTATGGCTGCTAGTGACTTCTGTTCCAAGTGCCGTCCCTCTCTGGTTTTGCACCCTTGTTTCCAAATTCTGGGTTAGTGGCTTGCCCCGCAACCTCAGTTCTTTACTAAGTCCAAGGAGAGTCATTGAGTTTTTCAATTTGTCCAGCTTTTTATTTCAAGGATGGAGTGATGACTTCCAAACTCTTCATATATCTGAGCCCAAACTGTAATTCTTTTATTTGGTTCTGAAACTTGAAACAAAAGCTTTAAGAGTGGTTTTTTGATTGACTTGAAAGCAAAAATAAATTACAAACAGTACTCCTATAAATAAAGAAAAATTATTCCTTTGGAATAATAATCATTTTATGAAAAGAATGAAATTAAGAAAATGAATCGTTAAGAAAACAGCTGAGTTTTTTCCCTCAAGGGCTTAAATGCATCTTATTTGTTCTTTTGCTGCCTTTCAACAGAGGTTTAAAAAGAAAAAGTGATAGAAAATAGCCTGCCCTTTATTGAAAAGAAATAGTCTTTTTCTATTTTTCTAGTAAAGAAAGAGAGGAATAGCAGGGCAGGGTGAGAAGCTCAGGAAAGATTGCTGTTGTGCTAAGATGTACAGGATGGGGAGGGCCAGACAATCCCTGGGGGCTTGGGAAGGAAAGGACATGAATGGGAATGGAGCAAAGTCAGGGCTGCTGCCTGATGCCGACTGGAGATCCATGTGGTGGTAACTCATGTCCACAGCTCTACGGTTAGCACCTGGCATGGGGAACCCAGAAGCTGTCTTCTGAAGAAGTGCAGGTACCAGTATTACTTCTGGTCAGAGCCAACAACTTTTAATTATCAAAATTAAGGCATAAAGGATAAACACCTAAAACACTAATTTAAAAGATATCACAATTGTGAAATCAGGGATAATAGAAAGCAAAATTATTATTCACATGTCACCATAAAAGCATAAAAAAAGAATAAGAACCACCCCAGTATGTCATGGGCTGTTGTGCTGTTTAAACTACCTGATATACTTAGGAATCCCTGGCTTGAGAATAATGTGTCTGCACTGGTGCACAGAGCATAACAGTGCATTTTCTTCTCCT